GCTAGACTGTGGTTTTGAAATAGCCTCATTGTGTTCCATTCATACCCCCATATTCCCTCTACTGGGGGGACCGGCAAGTTACCCCGACCGTGTCGCCAGGACGCCATCATGTCCCTGTCGATGGAGGACCCAGAGAACCAGGCGCTGCTCAGCGCCAACGCCTGCCACTCGACGATCGCGGAGACCCTGGCGGCACTGAAGCAGGATGCCTTCCAGTACATGCTCCTGGGCCTGTTCTGCTTAGGGGACTATCCCATAGGAGACCTGGCTCTCTTGATTATGTAGGGATGAATTCCTTTGGAGGGGCCAGAAGACTATGAGGCATTCAAGCCTACTTCCATGGGAGAGCATCCAAGAAGTACTACCGACTTTGCTGCGGTAGCAGACCTTGGGACACTCACACTGGTAGGTCACCGAAGTGAGATCATGCTCGGCCTCCACTCCAGAGCACACCGCAGGTTCATCAACCCCGTGACGACGAACGCCGGGACCTTCGTCTCCGGGCACGGCTACGTCAGGGGGAGCTTCGGGAACCTTGCAGCCTACCTGACTTGGATGCTGGGCTGTCAGACCCTATATCAACTCTAGACCTACTTTACATCAACCCCAAAACTACCTTATAACTTATAACAACCCTAAACCTACGTTATAGCAACCCCAAACCTACCTTACGTCCGCCGTAGACCCAGCCCGAGGATGTGCGTCGCTTGGTTCGCGGTCTTCCAACTGGGCTGTCTCTGGGGCGTGGCGCAAGCCGGCGCCTGGGACCACCGGTCGGGGGCCTACCTGGCCTACACCTGGCAGCTGGAGAACAAGAGAGGCTACAGGCTGATCCTGGGCCCCTCTTTAATTCAGGGTCTCTACGACTCCATACATGGTAAGCATTGTAATGTTGCAGGAGTTTTCAACCAGAGCCGGCAAGAAAGAGGCATCCCGTTTGGAGTCGGCTCGTTCTAGTGGCAGAGTCCCCTAGTTGATAAGTGATCCGCGCCCAGGATGGTGATGGGATTTCTGGGCGTCTCTGTCCCCCTGTTCCTGGCCTTTATCACCTTCCTCCTCTTCTCGGATGGAATAGTCTTCGTGGAGTCTCTCCAGTCGATGCTCATGAACTATGGTCTGTGGTGCTACGGCCTCTACAATCTGCAGTCCTCGTTGCAGCCTCCGTTCCACTGGAAGTCGCGGCGTTTCCGGATCCTGATCTTCCGGCGTCCTGCCAAGTACTTCTTCCTCACCAACGACGCCTTCGCCTTGCGGCTGCAGTACGCCCTGGTGGACGAGCGCCGCCATCAGCGCCAGAGCCCAGAGGCCGCGGCGCAGCCTGCGCAGCTGGAGGCCTGCCGGACTCTCCTGGCCGAGTCTGGAGCCTCCAGCGAATCCGGCGAGGAAGCCGAGTCGGGGACCCCCACCTCGCCAGGCCTGGCCGAGCTCGTGGTAGGCCCCAGCGAGACGCTGAGGCGGCTACAGTCGGCAGAGTCGCTCACCTCTCCCTGCCTCCTTCCGAAGGGTGGAAGCGAAGACGTGAGAAAGCTTTGAGCAGACTGCTGTCGGGCCTGAGCCCGAAGGGCCCACCGCCGAGCAGGACGTCTAGGAAGCTTTCTTAGCTGGTGATGGTACTGCGGGCATTTGCCCTCATCCTCACAACTATTGAATCCTGGGTTGCTACTGAGGAACTAGGTTGAAGCTACCGTATTGTGGTTATATGGTAAATAACAAGGTTTCCTCATTACGGTACTATTTAAAGCCCCTCAGCAGCAAGCCAGAACCTGAAGAAGGTAGTCTACGCTCTGGGGAACTTCTACGGCCCAGGAGGCCGATGGTTGCAGAGGAGTTCTGCGGTCTGTTCGCTTGTGCAGGTCCGTCAGCCACCGATGTCTGTGGGACTTATGGCGCATCGCAAGCTGCAGAGACAAGATGCTGACTCTGTGCGGGAGTGCAGACATCGGTGCCGGGGCGCCTCTTCGTAGATGCCCTGAGAGTTTGGGCTGCCTGGACGTCACAAAGATTCCTTGATGCCAGGCACCAGTACTGCCTTTGGTCCGCGGCGATCGTCTGATTGTCGAAGTGCTGTAAGCTGCCAGAAAAAGACTGAGCCAAGCGGTGAGTGAGTTTCTGGTGTCCATCATCTGTGAGCAGCTTGCCACTGGGCATGGCTGCCTGCGCGCATGGTACTGTTGTTCTTTCAGGGATATGAAGCCATAACTACGTCACCCCTTTCGTCGTAATGCGCCCAGGGCATGATGGAAGACGGGCGAGGCCGCGCGTCCAGCAGGCTGGACTGGACCGTGGTACAGATCTTGCGGTGTGAGCACTCTTCAGTTATCCGAAAGACGTCTGCAAGCATTTTGCTCACAGCCCTATTGCCGCACTCATCTGGGCACCCAGCCATGGCAAGCTTGTTCGCCGAGCAGCGTGAGCTCCTTCCCACGCGGGACGTGCGCGACGACGAGGAAGCGCAGCGGAGCCCGGGAACCCCTGGCTTGCGGAGCGGATGGAGCAGGAGGGCCCTGGTGGCCAGCGGCTTTGTTGCGCTTTGCTGCGCCGCGATCCTGGTCTCAGTCCTCGTGCTGTCTGGCCGCAGGCAGGTTGTGAAAACAGAGACCCGGGAGATCATCGGCATGGCGGAGAAGCCGGAGCATCCGGCAGAAAAGAAGGCCTCCGAGTTCAAACTGGCCTACGTGGACTACGTCTACGACTGGGGGCAAAAGGCATGGACCACGTCACGCACCTATCTCTTTGCCGAAGACGACACCTGGCAAGTTCATGTGTACGACATGGACAAAGGTCATGTTGGCTTCGAGAAGACGGGACCTAAAAACAGCTGGTCTGTCGGCGAATGCCTGGGACTTCCCAGTGAGAATGCGGACCCCGTCCGTGAGTTCATGACTCTTGTGACTTTCGGAATGGGTCGAGTTGAAATGGATTACTGTGGGACTTACAAGACCATGTACAAAGTCACACCGGATGTGCCCTTTGATGCTTGCAACAAAGACTACAGGCGCTACGGGGTCATGTATTACAACGAGTTGGTCGGGACTCCGTTTGGATATCAGAACTTGAATTCGATGATTGGGCTGACAGGATACACGCACGGATGCCTCGCCCCACGCTACTTCATGTTCCGGATGATCGGATGGACCACCACCTGGTGCTGGCAGGACAAGATGGGCATGGCCCAGTGGGAGTTCCGCCCCGGACCGCGGCAAGTCCCGGGACTGCCAAACAAGAACGTGAGCAGCCAGCTCTTCTGGAACAAGACCTGCGATGATTTGGGTGACGAGGATATCAAGAGCGTGGAGGCCTGTGCCGTCGGCATCGGCTCGGACTGGGGTCTCGCGAAGCATGCTGGGCTCAAAGCCCTTGCAGCCGAAATTCAGCAACAGTTTCGCTATGCGTCTTGTTGTCCAGGTCCAGAACCCCGAGCATCAGTCTTGCAACTTAAAGTCCGTAGGGCCACAGGACAGAGGGGTTGCTTGTCATGAACTCAGCTGAACGGCTGCAGGTTCATCTCGGCAACGGCCGCGCCGTGTGGGTCGAGCTGAACCAGCTGGATCAGGACTGGGTCAGCAAGCTCGATCTGACGAAAGGTTCCTCCAGGATCTCTTGCGACACTACTGCGGAGCACAAGTGCCCGAGCTCTTGGAAGAAGGACGTACGATCCTGCGACGCCATCAGGCTGAGCCATTTGAAGGATTGGTCGGTTGAATACCTGAAGAGGTATCCTGCCTACGACATGGATCGGACGGACGGGGTGAACTGCCAGCACTTTGCCACGAGGGCGTCAGAGTTTCTGACGGGATTCGTCCTCTACCACGAGCAAGCCGGATGGTGGGTGAAGTTCTGGAACATCATCGTTGCTGTGATCGGCGGGATCATTTTCCTTGGGTGTCTTGTGTTTGTTGTTTTTTCCGTACTCAGGTAAACCGACTGACCACTGGGAAACCCACCAGGCCTGTCGGTCGTGACTGGTCTTCCAATTTTGTCAGCCACCGATGTCTGTGGGACTTATGGCGCATCGCAAGCTGCAGAGACAAGATGCTGACTCTGTGCGGGAGTGCAGACATCGGTGCCGGGGCGCCTCTTCGTAGATGCCCTGAGAGTTTGGGCTGCCTTGGATGTCGCAAAGATTCCTTGATGCCAGGCACCAGTACTGCCTTTGGTCCGCGGCGATCATCTGATTGTCGAAGTGCTGTAAGCTGCCAGAAAAAGAATGAGCCAAGCGGTGAGTGAGTTTCTGGTGTCCATCATCTGTGAGCAGCAGACACCAGGCATGCTTGCCACAGGGCATGGCTGCCTGCGCGCATGGTACTGTTGTTCTTTCAGGGATATGAAGCCATAACTACGTCACCCCTTTCGTCGTAATGCGCCCAGGGCATGATGGAAGACGGGCGAGGCCGCGCGTCCAGCAGGCTGGACTGGACCGTGGTACAGATCTTGCGGTGTGAGCACTCTTCAGTTATGCGAAAGACGTCTGCAAGCATTTTGCTCACAGCCCTATTGCCGCACTCATCTGGACACCCAGCCATGGCAAGCTCTTTCGCTCATTTCTTCTTTTGCAAGACGTCAGGCTCATTTCTTACTTT